TTTTTTTAAACCTCAAGTAATAATTTCTGGTTGTTTGCTTGTTAATGACTTGTGTGACTGTAGTTTTAAGTAGGCCTGCCTGCCTGCCTGCCTAATTGATACAGCTAAACAGCACATAACTGAAGTCCAGTTAAAATTATACCAGGCACGTACTGGGGTAGACTTTGGGTAGACTTTGACTAAGCCATTCTAACCAAGGATTATGCTTGACTTTAAAATAAACAGGAAAAAGAAAATCATTTCCAACATCAAACTAATTTGATCAACATAATGACAAATTCTACTCAAAACATTTCACATAGATCCCACAGCATGTCAGGCTGAGAGTTCACCAGTCGGCCCAAACCGTCACAAATGCATAAATATGCCAAATAAATCCAGGATGTATCCTGATGTGACCCTGCAGGACAAGAGGGCTCTGCTCTGCCCAGGCTTCTCATTGAGAAAATTTGATCAGTTGCATTGAGGGACCAGTTGACCAGATCCATAATTTGTAGATTCGATGGATGTACAAAGTGAGGCGCCAAAAAAAGCAGCTCAAAAACAGAGCAAGCAGGATGAAGGTGGGGAGGAAATGAGATGATTTTCATCACCTGACTGCGACAATGAGAACCAACCCAACCATACAGGTCGATTTAATCAGCAGAATGAATGTCTGCTAATAGAGGAACAAGACTTGAAGACCTAAAGAATGCAGAACAAGAAACATTTATAATCTCAATATGGAAAGCCAACAACAACAGCTTCAGTCCTATTGAGTTCATTCCTGCCATCAAATATAGTGAATCTGATAAACCAGAAATCAAATTCAGCCTTTCCTCGTTTACATCCTTTAGATGTATCCAGCACTATAAAAAGGTATCAGTCAGAAGAAGAGTACAAAACAATTATCCTGGAGCATTAGATACAAAAACTGGATGTTTCTACAAAACTGACTAGATATGAAATGGCAACTCTGAGGGATGGGCAAGAATTTCAGATGAAATCTTGTTTTCTCTAAATATCTGCTCTAAGGAATAGGAGTGGGGTTTTTTGTTTATTGTTCTTTAGAAAACATGAAGGTTTTGGTAAAATCCCCCAAAGCAGTGTGTCAGAATGTGTTCTGGTCAGATGAAGTTGAATGTTTGGGTCACAGAAAGCATCATATATCCACAGTAAAACATGGTAGTGGCAGGATCGTACTGTGGGGGAAACCTGGGAAGCACTGTGGATGAGAAACTTTTACAAGGTAGAGTTAGCAAACACACCCAAGTAACTCCTCATTGAAAGCTGAATTTTGATAACTCCTCATTGTAAAGTTTATTTGGCTAAAGATATGTAGGTTGCATGCAAAATGCAACCACTTAACAACAGGAAGCAGACGTGTTTTCTCGCTGTTCTGTTTCATACAGGAAATATTCTCGTAGCGTCTTCTGAAGTTTCTGATGAAGAATCTGCTGCCATGTTCGGTGGGTTATCACGATCAGTCAGTGAAGTTTACTGATAAGCAGGTGTTGCTGAGTTAACAAACCTTTAATTAAAGCCAAATAAGGTTGTGGATAAAGAAAAACATTTACAGGGCCAGATGTTCAGCATGTTGGTGTTATAATGATTGGGGCAGCTTCTAAACCACAGGAGCTGCTGCCCTCCATCCTGTAAACTTCTTTAGAATATTTTAAATGCACCCTTAAAAAAAATCAACAAATAGGTGAATTTTATGCAAAATATTATTAGATATGTTCCACCAAAATAATCTGCTTTTGTGCCAAAGTTTTTTTTTTGTTTTGTTTTTATTTCCTCATTATGATTGAAGTGGAATATTTACAGGTTAAAACAGTGAAAGAATTTGATTCAAAGAAAACCCACTAAATGAAGAGCACATTGTGTTATTTGATATTTTTAAGAAATAACATTTGTACATATTCCAAAAGTCACACATGTAATATAAATCTGAAAACAAAAGCCAAATGTAATGCAAACATTGTTCTTAGATAAAGAGAATATAAAAGACACCCGAGGATTTGATTTTACACCTGCAGAAAGAGAGAAACAAAGAGAAACCACAGCGATAAGCAACATATGCATCTAACAGCAGATGGATGCATTTAGTAACAACCGCAGCTGTAGACACCTGTAAACATCTGAATTAAAAAAATACATATATTACAAAACATTAAAATCAAAATCCAGGAAATTTTGCCGTGAATGTTTTGAATTTCTTCAAAATCGTCTCCAACTGAACTTGAGATTCAAGCTCAGACAGTAAACGATGCGTCGGTCTTCAGCGCCACGGTGTCTTCATATGTAAGCCTCTACATAATGTTTAGAAAGATATTTATTTATTAACACAGAGCACAACAAACAGGAAATATGACAAAACGGTATAAAAGAATTTCCTCAGTTAAAAATCTGGTTAATTAGAAAGTACCGTATCTGCATCACAACAGGAAATTATTAAAACTTAAAATTATTTCTTAGTAAAATCAAAACTCTACTTTCATTTTCTAATAAAATAAAATATAAATTATATTGCCCCAAGTCGTAACAACTTGAGTGAAACATATTGTCATCGTTGTTATGACGATGTAGTTATAAAATAAAATCTTTTTTTAGAGGATTTGTTGCTGAAGAAAACTTACTCGCTGTTGATGTGAGCTTAACTTCTTCTCTAGTAACACTGTGGAGAAAAACAGTTTAGATTATTTTTTGATAAATGATTAATATGCAACAGTGTTATAATGTAAGATGTGCATAAGTAAATTGTCTTTTACCGTTTTGATTTCTTTTGCTTTTTGATGAAGACTGCCAGACGCGGTGCTACGAGTATGATGATGAGACTGATGAGGATGAAGATCAAAATGCCATTAAGAGCTTTGTTGTTGTCTGCATGAAGCAAATAAAACATGAGTTACGCTACGCAGTGATTTGTTTTTATCAGTGTGTGAAGTTCTTCACACTTTGTTGTAGTTATAGAGCAACACGTACAGCGAGTGGAAACCTTTGCTGTTTCAGCTTCACTCTCATGCTTCCCATTGAAGGCAACCACCTATAAACAGAGAAATACTCTTCAAGGGTCAAATAGTTCAGAGAAAATGAGAATTATCCTGAGAATGTAAAAAGGTTGAACACAAACCTGGACTGTGTAGGACGTCAGGTAGTTCAGATCCCCGATTTCAAAAAGACACTCATCAGTTTCCTCAACTTCTCTGTCGCCACTGAGACGAACGATGTAAACTTTCCTCGGTCCTTTAAATCCACCGACTGGCGGGGAGCAACTTACTCTGATCACATTATTCTTTATGAGACGGACTTTCAGTTGCTGAACTTTATCTGGTACTGATGCAAGAAAAAAGAAGAGACTTTTTAAAATCATGGATACATTTAAGACTTATTTTAAGAATCTGTAAAAGCATAGAAAAAATTCTGTCATTTTAAAAAAACTCAAGAATAATTTTAATTAATTTGACACTTGATTATAAAACGTCTTCGTGTCTGTCAATATATTCCTAAATGTTTAATGTTTACCCTACGTTTCAGAACAACCACAGAACCAAAATATAGTAAGATAAATAAATGGTTAAATAAATTGAAATATATATATATATATATATATATATATATATATATATATATATATATATATATATATATATATATATATATATATATATATTGACAATGAAATGAAGTAAAGAATGGGCATTAAAACTGGAAGCCTAAAAACACAGAAAATCCAAAGTTTAGATTTTTTAAATTTAATTAGATAAATTGTATTTTTTGTAAGGGGATATCTGTAGGATTATCCATTATTTTATTTTATTAAGCCAAATAAGCTGAAATAAGAAAACTCTGCCGGAAAGTTTTAGTTGTAAAAACAATTTAACTATAATTGCACAAAATGTTTTCTTAAGGGAAGTGAAACAACAGAAAATGTCATTTATTTTTTGTTAAGCATTGAAGAAAGAAAAACTACTTTATTGATTTTATTGAAAGTCATAAACATATTTATATACACATGGTAAATGTTCATCTGACGTCTTCAGTGAAGCTGAGATTCACTGAAGACATTTATATCAATTATTTATATCAAAACGTTCTCACCTCCGGGATTTGTTCGTCCTCTGAGTGTTAGTCCTTGGGGAACTTTCTTGTTGTTATAGATGGGGTAGATTTCAACATCATAGTCGGTGAATCTTTTAAGTTCGTAAAATGTACATATTACTCCACGAGGCAGTCGGACTGTCTGACCATGTATCTTTGCATCTGGTTGAGTAACAGCAGGTCAGAAGAAAGACATTTTAGCTGACCAAATACAACTAAATTTTAAAAAAATATTAGGGTGCATACATACATTTGTCCTACGGGAAATTAAAACTAAATTATTTGACGTTGGCTCAGTTGATTTGTCTTACAGAGAATGAAAGATCAAACTTAACTATTGACTACATTTTTATTTGTTTCTCCAAACGTATAACAGAGTTAGCAGTAAAAATGTTTTTGAGAAACAAAATTATAAGAACGTTTTTACTCACCTCCATCAATTTCCTGAGTGCTGCAGGTGTAGGAAAGCTTCTCTAGATTAGGAAGAACGGCTCCACAGTTCTCACTGGTTGTTTTCCACCATATGACAAGTAAACTTTTGTTGTCATATTCATTAGTGAAAATAATTGTAAAATCTGTTGGAAAACAGCAAAAACTCCTGTATTTATTGTTCTTCAACCCAAAACTATGTTTGGATTAAAGTTATTTCATTTCAAAGACAGTAATCAGCAGCTCACCACAGGCGATGTTGACCTGAACAGCTGGAGTTTTCTTGTTGATGGACACGTTGTTGTTCTTGATCAGACCAGTGCAGCTGTAATCTGTAAACGGCTCCAAATTAGAGAGCAGAATGGAGTCTCCAACCTTTCCACTTTCTGAGGAAGAATTTAATATCGGCTATTAGTACATTTGCTTTTTGCTCCAAATTTAGAGACAGAAGAGATTTACAGAGAATACAAGTGCTATTATAATCATTGTTATGCACATATTTCTATGTTTCTAATCACATCTCTTCTTCTGGTCGTTTCACTCACCTGAGCAGGTGTACTCAATGCTGAGATTCTTACAGTTTGGAGGCAGTTTTGTTTCTATCTCTGCAGGAAGGCGGTTGTGTTGAGTCTGATTCATCTCATTTGGGTTTATGTAATCTAGAAAAAGAAACAAATATTTTAATCCAACCATTTTAGTTTTTAGAAAGGGTTTCCAAACTGCAGTCCAGGGGCCATTTGTGGACTCTGGATTGCTTGTGTGCGGCCCCGACTGCCTGATACAAGTTTGGCCCAAAAGCAAAGATGATTGATGTAGATGCAGGATTCTGTTTGTTAATTAAATTAGAATCTACTTATAATATCCTCATAAAGTATTCATCTGTGAAATTAAATAAAATGCTTTTTGCTTTATATTTAATTTCAAGATAAATAAAACCACATCTTTCCACCGACCTTCACACACCGAAATCTGCTTTTTCATTTATTTGATTAAAATGATCAAAATGTAAGATAACGTTAGCACAAATATTGTTTTTATTGCAGATCACAGGCTAATTTTTTAATTTATTTTATCAATTGATCGCAGGGTAATTTGCATGACCAAACATGGATCATGCAAAACAGTTTTTTTGGATCTACAACAATTTACACATCTCCTAAAAGATATCTGTTTGTTTTCTGTTTTATTTTATTACAACTGCAAACTTTAAAAAGTGCAATATAACAATATAATTGTTACAAAATATTTTTTGATTTTTGATAACACTAAAGTTACCTGATTCTAAAGCTGGGTCTGATCTTTCGTACGTACCAGCAGGAATGTATCGGGTCAGGTTAAAAGAGGAGTCGTTGCAGTTATCTTGATAAAAACTGACAGTGAAGTTTGAGCAGATGTCGTCTTCAGCCAGTTTGAAACCAAAGGTCCCGTTTCTGAACTGTTGGGTTTGGTTTGGTGCAGAAACCGAGGAGTTGATGTTCCAGCCGCTGTGGTAGCAGACGTGTCCCGGGATGCAGGGGCTGTTTGTGACGTCTTGTTCATCTGAGGCACGTCAGTCATGTTTCTCAGAGTTGTGCACCAAATAAAGTAAAGTAACATTATAGGAGTGGCAGAAGTTTTTGTACTTACTCATGTTGAGTGTTTTTGCTTTTCCTCCAGAGCCGCTGCAGGATATTTCTGTACCGTTATTGTCAAGCATCGTGACCTTATGCTCATATTCAGTGC